CATTTCTCACATTCAATTCGTTTCTTCGCATCCACTGTCCACGAAGAGTTTTCAGCTTTACGTGTGGCTTCGGTCGCTGCTTGATTTTCATTTCATCTTGAATGCCGTGGATAGAATGCTGCTCGAGCAATTCTCCTTGGAGTCCTGAGATAACCGAGCTGGAGCGTTCTCAATGGGATTGCAGAGAGTGATGTTTTCCCAGAGAACTCCGGTACCAATTTCCCTACCCAGAAGAGATGAGAAGCTTGGCTGGCCCGAAGCGGAATCGAACTAGCACCATGTTCGTGATGACATATATCACTACTACTGTGCTATCGGCCCTATGCATGATTAGTATAAAAATATACTAAATACGGTGCGCATCATGATGTGTCCAAAGCTTTGTAGAAAGTTTCCTTTTTTCAGTGGAATGAGTCTTCACAAGTTGGACGATATTGGTTGATGTTATACCTTTTTATTTTCTGCCTACTATAATTTCGCGGCAGGGTACTAAGCGAAATACAGCCACAGCGTTGCTGAGATATTTGCAAAACTCTGGACCGCAGGTGTCTATGGTGGTGAACGAACGCGCTATTGTCCTTTCCGGGGAGTAACGCGTTCACCACCACACCATGCGGGTCCTTTGTTTCGCCTGTCTCTCAGCTTTCAACTACAACTGCAGCTTAACTGGGTTCTATGCCGATTTGGGCGCCCCAGATCAATCCCGCTGACGGGTGATTGCTGTGGAAAGGATCGATAAAAATAGCTGCGAGACAGGCGAAACAAAGGACCCGCATGGTGTGGTAGTGAACGCGTTACTCCCCGGAAAGGACGATAGCGCGTTCGTTCCCCACCATAGACACCTGCGGTCCAGAGTTTTGCAAATATCTCAGCAACGTTGTGGTTGATATTGGCTGATATTGTGCAGGTCCTCCATTCTGTGCAACAAACGAGACTACTGTTTTTTTTTTCATTAGACAACTGAGCCAATGTGTTCATCAGAGCAGACACTAAGTAATTCAGATGTTCGCGTTGGTGCATACGTCAGACTGGGAGTTAGAAAGTTCATCGGTGTTCACCAGAGAAATAACATGTACCATTTAAGAAAAAAGGAACGCTGCCCTGAAATCTCCATACTTCCTGGCACTATGTTCAGATAGGTGACTTGGCCTTCGAAAACATCGGATTAAAGTGTGAACACTTGTTTCCATTTCCTCTTAGTACGGTGACTTTTACGTACAGAGATTAGATGGTGATCCTTTTGGCTAATCGATCGCTGAAATTTGGACAGGGATTGCATATGCTTTCTAGAAACTGCATTCATCCCACTACTCTTCTTCTGTGGCGCAGTGGTCGGTATCTTCCAGTCGCAGCTGGTCAGATAACCCCATATTTGACTATATTCGTCGTTGTTTATATAATCATATCCTCAGTAAATGACCCTACTGGCCTACATCATGTCAACAATGGGCTATTCAAATCCTAGTGTTCGGGCTTCGCAAATAAAGATGACACCATAGCATTTCTAGATTTAAGTTGCTTAAAATAGCTTTTAGATTTTAACAACCTTTCTGTACTCATCCTATTCTGCGTATTGAAGGCCGTCTATGTAAGGTCCCTTTATTTTTAGTGTTTTTGGCAAACACTGAAGGATAGCTTATCACGAATTCCAACAGAAGATGTAGAACTTATCTGTTACAAACGACTTGGAGCCAAGTCTTACGGATCGCACTCTTCTAATGAGAACTCTACCGAATAGCGGGTATAATCCACATCCATTTGTAAACTTGTGAATAGAGGCAATTTATGAGGATTTAAAGAGGTCGATGGGATCAAATACTTGGAACAATAAAAACAGCTTTGGACATTGCAGTTATAATTGGTCTTTAGATAACCTAGAAATTATATCAGAATTCACGTAACCTAAATTCCGTTAGAAAACCTCTCTGCGACTGAAATTTGCGGAAGCTTAAACATAAAAAAACTCAAACCCAAAAAATAGCCCCTTGAGCTAGCCACCATGATTATGCGTTACATAATCTGCACATCATTTTCACGACAAAAAAGAAATACAAGAAATGACAACCGGTATCTCATATAAAAGATCACCTCAAGGATCTCTGCAACAGATCGAGCTGGAGGTGGAGGTAATGGCATCGGTGGTACATTGGATGATGTCTGTATTATAAAAAGTAAGTCTACAGACTAAAACACCGAAAATGAAAACTTCTGCAAAGTATTTATCAATACTTACCACATAAAACCCAACCACCAAATTTGCATGGTTGCGCGTAGAACAGCGTCTAATTTCATATCTCTTACGAATATGCTGACTTTTAGACAACAAATGACAATGTTTGCGAAAGCTAGAGGACTCAAGGGTTGAGAACATTAAAGAATTACAAAACAGTTCTTCTTGGCTATCATTCTAGGGGTATGGACAGTAATGTGTGCTACTCTTTACTACATCTATGATCCACCCCCTACTTTCCAACGGTTTACCGCCTCATTGTGGCTGAGGTGCTTCTGGGTATTGGGCTAAGACATACAGCGAGGGGATTCATCTCCCAGCAGGGCCTCCCAAGTTGAGAAGGGCTTTGGCGTTTCCATTAGGAAAGCCAGTTGAGAGTAAACTAATACCAGGATCCACCACTGTCCTGGTATCAAACCAGTCGCATGATGGCAAAACTCCCTCTGATACACAAGGGCGGCGGCTGCCTGTGGTAGTGACGACCTGAAACAGACTTTGGCCAGGCTGACCTCGGGACTTCAAGGAACCACAATGGCTAAACTAGCAAAACTCCGAAAAATGCAGAATATGTTGGATTCCGCACAAATAATGAGGAAAGGCCATCCAAACATCCAAGTATGTAAAACTCCTACAATCTATGCTCCAAAGCTTTATAAAATGTTAATGCTTTCTTTTGACAAAAAATTTTTTTTCCGAATTTGGCTTACCGCCTTGATTCTAAGAGTATCGGAAACACATGCCAACATTGACGGTGACAATGTGAATAGGTTAACTAAGGCACACTCGCGCAAAATGACTCGACAGCATGTGAAGGAATTATGCAGAGATAAAACGATAGATAAGGAACAGCTCAGAAGGATTCTAAATCCTCTACAGTTCAAAAAATGAGATAGCTTCGATTTAAATACAAAGCTTTCATTATGAAGTTGCAGTTGCTTAGTATGCAATGCAGAGGTTTTTGCAGTACTTTCTAAAATAAATCAGTAGCTTGTCCAATACATCTTATGTCAAGCGTGACCAATAAAAAGCTGTTGTCTACACTCAAAAGTATCTAAAGATTTTTAACATGTTCAAATCAACACGAGGCTGGGACAATTGATGTTGAAGAGAGTATGTACCTCAAATACTGTTGCTGACAAAGAGGACGTACAAATGTTTCTATTTGAGTGCAGAAGTTCGAAACTTATAGTTGGACATACTTCCACTACGACAAAACAATAATTGATGAGATCTCTTTAGGCTGACATGGTGCCGACAACTTATGTGTCCACCAATGCGCTTCAACGCTTCAACAGCTCATTCCTAAAGATATTTACAAAGTCTTATTATCATAGTCTTTTGCCGATACTTCAAATGTTGCATCTAAGAAAGTATATTTTGCAATCTACAATGTTCACTTGTTCACCTGCTAACGTCATCAAGGGCTATGAAATCCAAATCTTCGCCAATAAAAACAAGCTAAAATGAAGAACTGGATAGCGATGCACGATGAGGAATAATATGTACACCCTTGGCGAGTTAGAACAAGGTCTCTTCTAGAAGAATGCCAAATTTTCAACTATTCTAGCCCTCTAAAATCAGTGTTATCCATTATTTGCTACATACAAAGTCCAATTTCCCAACAGCGACTGACCGCTACGCCCTAGTAGCATGCGACGAGTTAATGACGGATAACGACAAGTCTTTACGCTGCAGTAGGATCGACTACTAAGCTGAACTGTTATGACACCTGTGAGCATAACAACGAAACAGAAGGGAAAAGCACGGAATCCCAACATCTGAGGAGTAGGGATCCGAATATCTAAGCACTTCCCACTAAATCTCCACACTTACGCTTCATTTACATTCACTCCTACAACTTCCAATGATTGTATTGATCGCCGTTCTTAAATTGTGAGATGAATAAATGGTAAATAAAACCTCAAGAGAAGAGACTTGCAAGACACAAGCGCACTTACCTGTGCCGTGTAATTGAAGACATCCTTGGCTGAAATAGATCGCACCTAAAAAATGCACTTCGCCAACCCACCAATGTTTCAACGAAGAAAAAGAACAATCTAAGGTAATGACATACACATAAATGATAGCACCTACATGTTGAAAGTGACAAAATGCAGGTCGTGACAACATTTCCAACCCCATGGATCCATGCCGTAAGATGACCCGTGACATCGTGAGCATCTGGCCTGGTTCTGAGACTTTCGATGTTTCAGACCACACATTTTATTCAAAGACAATAAATGTGAGTATGCACATGGCCAATCCCCGCCAAATGGTAGCAGTACTGAAGAACCAATTTATTCCTTTCCAGAAGTACTAGATACACATAAAATTATCTATTTCATACTTTGCTTCCAAGCAGAAGTCGGTTGCTGTGAACGCAAGTTTTTTAACTCAACAATAACTAATTATTCGTAAGTTATTCCCTAATATAATTGAAAACAACTGCAGAACTGAGTAAGTACAGAACAAGTACAACAAAAACGGTAACAAGAGAATATATATCAGACGCATACGAATGGGCTGACGACGGTGCTAAATATAGCACAGAAGGGATGTGTGGAGAAAGAAAGCTTCTAATAATGGCTGTTATATAGAATGACTAATTAGAAATAGTACTGCACTGGAGATCATCCAACTAAAAGTAGGACAGAAACATGGTATTTTATGAAAACGATGAAGAGATAATATTACCAATTTACCGGACGAAGATAATAAGACTGAGCTTCAAACCAAAGAATTATTTACAATGTGCCTTCAAAAACTTCAATCAATAATAGAGTGGGTTGTAAGTAACCCAATGCTGAGTTGGCTTTTTCTTGGCTTCTTCACAGGTGGTAAACAGCTTCTTGTAGGCGTCCGATTTAGTCGGATCTGATTGAATATCACTCTCAGCTTTTCTTTTCTCCGGTTTTTTCACCGAATTTTTAGCTTTGTCTAAAATAGAAAGAATTTCAAGCACATAGCTCGTAACAAAAACTAATTGACTGTCAACGTGTGTACGTAAACTGGACGTAAACTTATGGACGTAGTGGATAAACAGTGGTAAAATGATTTTTTTCCTTAAACTATGGAAAAGACACGTTTCTTCATCGGATCGAAGACCGTCGAAAAAGGAATTAAAACGGTACACAAACAGCTTACCTTCTTTCTTCACATTGGTATTGCCGACCTCCTTTGCTTGAGTCATCAAAGAAGCTTTCGTTTGAACATCACCTCCACTTTCAACTTCATTGCTTTCGTGATTATTCTTCTTGGCTTTCTTCTCCTTGCGCTCATCAGAAAGCTTCTGCTTGTACTGTTCAAGGAGCTCATCGTCAGGATTCAACACCACAGAGTCTTCGAGGTCCCATGGTCCGGAGCATCCGTGACATACCTCCGATTTTACCTTCAAAGTAAACAAACCTATTCGAAAAGAAAAAATTAACAAGTGCACAAAAAAAGTCCTACCACAGCAAAGTAAGCAGAAAACGTAACATAAACTACCTCTTGCAGTGCTTTCTCCGAAAATACACAACCACACTTCCAGTTAACCACAAAACCATTGATGCCATTCATAGGAACGGACGTGACAGGGCAGAGGAACTCAGACTAAATTTAGTTAATAAGTTTGCTACACTTTATGTAGTTGCCATTAATATAATAAGAAAGATCAAAATTTAATAGAATGGACTCTTCACCAAGACTGATGGAAAACAGAAAAAGGACTCACCTGATTGAAGTCGAGGTACTCGTCTCCCTTAACTTCCTCGCCCTTGTAGTCTTTATTTTCCTTTAGTTTTAGTTCTTTGAAATCCTATAATGCATACTGTCAAAAACTGATAACAAACTCTGCAAAAAGAACAGAAACTGTTTTCACAAAAAACGTCTTTCTTTCAGGAATGAATTAAGTCATAAAAAATCTACTAGTCCATCTACACCGCTAATGCAAAATCAAAGAGATGCACAAGTCACAGAGAATTACTGTACTTCCACAGAACACCATTTTATGGCTCACTCTTCTTCGGCTTTCTCTTGATAAACTGAAGATATCCATTGATTAGCGATGAAATAAGGTAAAGCCCATCTTCCGTAAACTGGTGTCGCACTGTGTTCTCAGCTTTGCTACAAGACGGTAGTTGTTGATGCTCGGGTTTGTCATGCATGTAAGGCTTAACAATGCAATTTAATTGGTGCTGTTCATATATGTGTAAGTAGTAGCTTTGCCTCCTAATTACTACACAGTTTTCCCAACGGTCTACCGTCCCATCGTGGTTGGAAGGTGTTCTTGTGTCTCGCGCTATGATATACAGGGGAGGGAGATTCATCCCTTCAGCAAGACCTCCCAAGCTGAGGAGTTCGACGTTTCCACCGAGAAGCCCAGCTAAAAGTAAACCAATGCCAGGGTCCACCACCGTCCTGGTATCAAAGTCGTATGGTGGTAAATCTCCCTCTGATCCACAAGGGTTGCAACTGCCTGTCGTGGTGACGACCTGGGGCAGACTTTGGCCTGACTGACCTCGTAACTCCAAGCAACTGCAATGTCTAAACCATCAAAACTCCGAAACAATGAAAATTGTTCCGGAGTGCCGCACAACCAATGAAGACGAGCCATCCAAGTATCCAAGCAAGTAATTATTGCTGAGTAAGCTGAAGATTATGCTGGTCGGGAGACAATGATTTCCGCTCCGTTTCTGAAACTTCTTATCAATGACACCACCTCTATCATGAGTCTAGCCTTAGGAGCCTTCTTACCTTACCTCCATTTTACATGTCATCTCGTAACCTCACTCCGCTATGAGTTAAGGATCGGAAACGAATGAAAACATTTTCACCAAACAACCACTTTTCTTACAAAAATTTCGATAATATTTTAGAACTAACACTGAAATGAACGTATTTCAAACAAAACGATGAAAAACTTTTCCACAAGAGCCCAGCCTTTCTATGGTTGTTCGTCATAACTCCACCAATACCTACGGTTTGTACAAAGAAGGACACTAAAATCAATGATGATACTATCAGCATACGAGGTAATAAAGTTGTAAAAGGAATCAACTTTCATATAACAATGTACCTAACTAAAAACTATCTGAGAGAAACGCAAAGCAAGCGCCGCCGTGGTGTAGCGTGTATGACCACCAGAAATGGTAGTAGTGGTTCGATCTGGCCCAGGGTCCAAGTTTTGAAAATATCTCAGCATCGTCTTGGCTGTACTTAACTACTTTTGGAAAACCACCTGGTAGAAACTACATGAAAGAAATATATTAAATAAGTGATTTTGTTCGTATTTTTTGTTGAGCAAACGCGAGGTGTTATTATTCTTTGTTCACGATTAAGCTGACGTTTCGGCGGATTTCGCCTTCCTCAGAGCCGCTTCCTATGAGGTTTCCACTAAGTATGTCACGTAGAGACCAACCGCACAGAAATCACGTGGAAGTATATATTAAATAATTCCCAGAGCAACCTAGTCACGCTGCTTAAAGTGGTACTGCATCTCCAATAGCGATTATAGCAGATGTAAGCCTTTACAATTCTTTACCAAGTATATACATATGTATGAGTATAGGTAATATACACAAGTATAGGTATATTTTTCAGGATTCAGGAAAGAAGGAACCCAGTCCTATTGACAGCGAAAAGAAATGAAGAGTTGTAAACCCGCACAGTTATCATATCCTGTTGAACACGTTTAATAATGTCTATACATTTATAAACTCAGAAATAAAACATGAGAAACACATTAGCCAAGGCTGCAATGAGTTCAGCGATAACCAATTTCTTGTACTGATACCAATGCACACATTTAGGCCGAAGTAAACTAGGTACCATTACATGTTAAAGCAACGAAAAGATCCACCTTAAGTCCCTTAATGTGCGACGCAGCCGGAAAATTTCCCATGGTTTTCGTAAGAATGGCCTCGATGACCGTTTCCTTGTTATACAGACGACCATAACGACAAGCAATGATTGGTTTCTGCAATGATTCACATCAGAATGGAACACAATGCATAGGAATTTCTGGAAAAAACCGTCGTTTGTGCCTTCAAAGTGGTGGTTAAAACGTCCAAAGAACTAGACATTTTATAGCAACAATACAAACCTTCAGAGGTTGTTGTGACAACTGGCAATTCCGCCACTTCGTGGCATTTTTGACGCTCTTGTCCAATTTTTCCGCTTTTTTTTTGTTTTTCACCAGTTCACATCGCTTGGGTATCGTTCCTCCATCGGCACCCATACTCCGTTTGAAATTTGAGCACCACACTAGTCTGGCAGGGAATCCCACAGCTAAGAGCAACACGAAGCTGGACAGGTTCTCCAAGTGGGCGTGTCCTCGATTGCAAATGGTACGCAGCTCTTTTCGTCGGACGAAAGTGGTACGTGAATGAACCAAGTTAGACGACGAGCATTTTCCGGATTGTTGACAATGGAGTTTGGTGATCCCAAAGTTGAGAATGTAAGTGGGATTTTGCAGTGATTCAGTATAGTTAACTTCGTTTGAAATGGTTAATCCGTAGACCATGTGCCCTTAAAGGCCAGTATAACCACAAGTGGAACTACTTACGTGCTTTTAAAGGATGCAGCACCAAAGTCTGAGAAGTTCTGTATGAGTCAGTCACTTGATGATCGGAAATGGCCTTTTTAAGAGCGTTTGCTTCCACTTATTTTGCATTTTAGGTCGTTCTTGACTTTTGACTTGAGTGCTTTCTTAGGTTATTAGGCTAATTAATACATTATTGATCCTCAGTTTTCTTATCAGTTATCAAGCTTAGCTAAGCTATTCAGCTAGAAAAATCTTTGGCACTCTTTTGATAAGCCTAAACATCGCCACGAATGCGATTCGTAATAGGGCTTCTTTGTTGCATTATGAAATATTTTCAGTATTTTACGTCTTAGTACATAAAACTAGGTTCATTATTTAGATATTCGAAGGAAGGCTTTCATCATCATCATCATGAGTAGCTGGTTCAAGAAGCCGGATGCTAAAGGTATTGGTTGAAAAAATGAACTTCTATGACATTAAGCTATTAGGAAGAACGGCACTGTCGGACATTTTTCATGCTGAATACATGTCATGCCTTGTTTTAGAACAGATGCGTGAGAACAACAGAAATCTGAGGAGAGCCAACCGCGATCTGGGAAGCGATAGGAGAGAGTTGGAACGCAAGGAAAGAGAATTGGTATATCACTTATGGAATCCATAGTTGTCTATTCATTCATGACTTCGTATATTTTCTTTTCTTAAGGAGAATGAAATTAAAAGAGCCGCAAAGCTTGGTCAGAAGGAGACCTGTACCGTGCTCGCTAAGCAGCTCGTCCGGCTACGCAGACAGAAAACGGCGAGTTTAGGAATGAGCTCGAAACTCACTAGCATCGCTGCGCAGAACAAGTCTGTTCACTTTTTTCTATGGATTACTGATTCAAAAGTTTATAGTAGTGGAACCTCCCAACGGTTTACCGCCTCATCGTGGCTGGGAAGTGTTCCTGGGTGTTTGGCTACGACGTACAGCGCGGGGATTCATCCACCCAGCAGAGACTCCCAAGTTGAGAAGGACTTTGGCGTTTCCATCAGGAAGGCCAGCTAAGAGTAAGCCAATACCGTGGTCTACCACCGTCCTGCCATCAAACTAGTCGCATGGTGGCATCTTCCTCTGATCCACTAGGGCTGCGACTACCTGTGGTGGTAACGATCTGGGTAGACTTTGGCCTGGCTGACCACGGAACTCCTAGGAACTACAATCGCTAAGCCAGCAAAACTCCGAAAAAACCAAAATTGTGCTGGGTTCTTTACAACCGATGAAGACGAGCTATTCGACTATCAAGTACCAAGTATGGTAGTGAAAAGAGAATGGTTAGAGGGTCTCTGAATCGCTAAAATGTCTTTGACCTTAAAAGGCATTTTCTAGCTTCAGAATAGACATAGGATCTCAGAGAAACACTCCAGTGTAACTAGTCTGACAAATGAACTGATATTTTCCAAGGGTACAATGGTTCTTTTATCAGTATGTGGTAATCGAATTTATTTCATTTACACTGTTAGTCACAACAGCCGAAAGATTTGTACTAAATAAATTTCTCAAGAGTACAGGCTCTGGATGGCTTAATAAAGATAATTTGTAGCCACATTCATAGTATGGGGACGATGTCACAAGTCATGGGACAAACTGTTAGCACTATGAAGACCATGGAAAAGCAGATGCCCGTAGAACGTCTGTCCAAAAATATGAAGGAATTCCAAATCGCCCAAGAGAAGCTTGGAATATCGGAAGAGGTATATTTCAGTTTCTCGTCTTTAATTGTTGCGTTACAGTGATTTATTCTTGAGCTTTCTCTTTTCCGAGAATTAGGACCTTACACTGTGACATAACTGACTCCTTAATAGGAAGATTGATGATATAAAATGTTTTCAAGATTATGAACAACACACTCGACGATATTCTGGACGAATACGAAGATGAGGAGGAACAAAACGCGATTGTGAATCAGGTCTTGGACGAAATTGGCATTGAATGTCAGAGCAAGGTCTGGTATTCAATTGGTTTAGAGTCTTTTGCGATTCTTTGGATAATTTTGAAAGATTACATATCCGTCTTAGTTCCTCCCAACAGGATTATATAATCATAATCTCGCTAATCATAGAGTGAGGTGACCCATTAGAGTACTAGCCAAGCATCCGTTCGTCCATGCTATGAGTGTATTGCTCAGTAGAGCATGAACAGCGTTACATTTTTGGTTTTAATTTTTATTGACTTTCGCGAGAGAATATCCATAGGTAACCATATTAGTAGAGGAGTTTTCTTTTTTCTCTTTCTCTTCATATATATACATGCGTATACATATATATACATATGTATATATACATGTGCACACACATGTATATATGTGTATATACATACATATGTGTGTATACAAACACATCTATGGCTTAGGCTGTTGGTTTGATCTGTTTTAAAATGTCCATGGGATTTAAAAATTTTAGTTGGCTGCTCTTCCGAAAGCTCCTTCCTCCATCGCATCCTCGTCAAAACCACTTTCTGATAATGATATAGAAAACATGCTAGCTCGGCTAAAAGAATAAAGGTTATAGTTTAATTTTATTTCATTTTTTATTTTCAACACATTTGCGATTTCGCAGCACAGTCTACGAATAAAATGTGTCTATGACTCGCCTCATCTGCCGAAAATAAGACATCTGTAGCCCTCTTCTTTTACTCTGGCAGTACTGCATGCGTGACGTCATTGCTTCACACGTTTATCTCTCTCTCTACGGCGGGGAATATCTTGGTACTTTAATCTAAATCTGTAGTACGTGCGCAAAAGATGTCAGTACCATTCTCGTTAGCAACAATATCGCTCTCAGGAAAAAGTGTTCCTTTGATAAAAGTTTTTTTTCCACATTGTTAGGCGTAAAATGTGCTTTCTGGAGCCACGTTTGACACAACATCTTCACTGGTGGAGTTATCCAATAAGTACGAGGTGCATCGCGGAGACTGTGCGGCAAAACATTCTAAATAACCAACAAAGTAATACATGAGTAAGGGCAACTTATAGCATCGTTGTGTATCGCTTAGGTATCGTATTCGAGAAGAGCAAGGTTGTCCACCTTCACCTGTATCATCTCTGTTCCCGTTGATGATCGGTCGTATGACTCGAACGGGGGCTTGTAAATCTTCCGTTTTTCCCCGTCTCCTCCAAGAGTAGCTCAGTGGGTTTTGCTCGGTCTAGGGTTTCGTTCAGCATCACAACTTTCCTGTAGACCTTACATCGTTAAAATTTGTAATTAGTATATAGGAGAATTTTACTTCCGTTATAGGTTCAGTTTTGTTGACCGCCCTGCATGGTGGATGATCTGGCAACTGACTTTTGTGTACATAAAGATGGGAAGTCTTTACACGAAATACCGGTTCCAGCGCATTCTTCATTTGTATGGTTGTTTTTTAACAATGTACAGAGGATACTGAATGCGCCTACGTATTCCGCTATGACTTGAGAATGTATAACTTTCGCTAATTCATATGTTGACTACTGGTTGTGAATGGCTGTCTTTAGTATACCAGAATGACCGTGCTAGAACGTTCCTGTTCATTCACCACAAGAAACTAGCTCATTTTTATCTGAGAAAGATATAGTATGCGATTTGGCTGTTTCCAAGATGACAGCGAATGCCTTCATTAGTTAATCAACAATTCGATGAAGATACCCGAATGAACCTAATCCGTCCGCTGTTACTAACTGCGTTGCTCCAAAGTCACCTGTAACTGCCCAAAACTATGAAGTGGATTGACAAAAGTAGTTTTTTATTTCGTCCTTGTCTGGGGTCAGAGATGCTCAGGGGATCTGCTCAACTGAGGAACACAATCACCATGTTTATCGACTAAGGCCTTTTATCAGCGATTTAGTACCTCAGAGTTTATACCTATACGTGGTTCATATCTGTTGGAGGCGACCTACCCCACATCTGACGTGCTTACTAATCAGTTGATTGTAGAGACATTTGCCTAAGTTAGCATGCAGAATACGGTACATTTACAGTAGAAGCTTTGCCATATTTACGAATGAGTCTGGTTGTGTTCTTGAAGACAGGTCGGTCGGCGCAGCGGAATTTATCTTTGTCTCACAACAGGTACAAGGTCGATCTTGGTTAGTGTTTATTCACCTGCAAGGGAGATCCGTAGATTAAACAATGGAAGTAAAAAAAAAGGCTGAAAGTCATATTCAATAAAGGAAAAATAGGCGCAACTGTAACAAAATTACTACAGTGAAGACAACTACAACAGAAGAATTACGAAAAGGAGATCCTTCTTCTAGTTATACCAGAAAACAATGAGTAATTTAGTGATCGAAGAGTTTGAATACCAGTTATGAATCTCTATAAAGAAATACCGTAATATAACTTCACATATACCAAGCCCATGTGAATATATAGACAATATATGATGTAAAATGAATGTAAAAAGTTTTCCCGCCCTTTCACGTTCAGCTAGAACAACCGCTTTCACACACTGATTTCAAGCACTACTGGAGCATGGTCGCTTCCATTCACATCTCCTCGAATCTCGCTTGACTTCACCTGAATACATTTCACCTGATTAAAGCAGAAACTGAAATTCTATAAAAGCAGTCGGTGCAGAGAATTAGAGCTTTATAAACAAGTCTCCAACGGATGAAGAGGAGTTCTTCCTCTCTCCATCTCCTTTTCCGTATTCTACTTATATCCTACTTTTCCTTTTTACACTCCTTCCTAACAGAAAAAGTGGTAAGGTACATCGCAACACAAAGGCAGTCATCGGTCCGACCGCATGCCCTGTGTTAACTAATCCGTCATCCTTTCGGAGTAAACAGATTGCTACCCTCTTTGTCTGCGAAAATAAAAAACAGACTTGATCCGTTGGTAACTGTTCACGAGACATTGTATAGGTCAAGCCTGGAGAGTCGAATGCATGACGCACATTTAGGGGATTGACGCATGTTGAACATTCTCAATTTATTGTTTATTATTTCTTAAACACATCCTATATCTGCTTTGCCTTTATGTGTCCATCCACTCACTACTCGTTAGCATTTTCCTGGTCCAATTATTCTTCTCTGATACTCTTTCCTATATCGAAACGTATCTTCTCTCTCCATAATCATTACGTTCTACATAGGAAAAGTGCAGAAGTTCTCCACCAAATACTGATGAAAGCTTCGATATTTAATCGAAAACATAAAAAGGAGAGGGAATAAAACATTCAAGGTTGATGAATCACTGAGAGATGTGCCATCCATTGGACTACGTGAATTGAGGTGGATACCAATATATCAAGTAACTATTACGATCTTCCCACAACTCCGCTGGCAGTTTGAAAACCACAACGGTATGGAAGGCATGGTGACCAACAGGCGCTGGAACGAACCAAAGACCATACGTGTATTGTGGAACACCGCTAACCATTGCGTCGCATGCGCTCGTTTCAGAACCATACCTTCTTGAAAATCCTCTCGCTCACTACATAGTAGTCAAGGCGCCATCCAACATTCTTAGCACGAGCATTTCCCGTATACGTCCAAAAGGTATACTCCTGTTTTTCTGGATGGATCTCACGGTACGTGTCCTCAAAAACTCAATAAAATTCTGAACAAATATCTGAATAAAGAATATTAAAGTTACCTTGAATCCTGCGCTTAGAAGTCGGGTGAACCAGCCACGCTCTTGGTCTGTAAACCCAGCAGTCTTATTTCTATTCGATTCGGGGTTCGCCAGATCTTAAAGATCTGAATAAAACAGGTTAGAATGGAAGTTACGTTGAGCCCTCACCAATTTCATTATGGGCCACATTCAGATCACCGGTATAGATGACTGGCTTCTTTTTATCCAGACTCTTTATCTTATCCAAGAACAATTCCTCCCATTTACCACGCTTTTCAAGATTAACTAGGCCACGTCCACTATTGGGTACGTAAGCACCAATGAAGTAGAAGTGATTAAATTCCGCAATAATCAAGCGACCTTCGTTATCGAATAAGTCATCCCCGATTCCTTTCCATACCTAAACAAACAAACAATATGCACGTGTTGTACACTTCCGGCTGAAATTTATTGCTTTACGTTAAAAAGAATGAAAAAATGAAAAAAGGACAAAGTTCTAGGCATCCAGTAGTTTCACAGAGAGACTTCACGACGACCATGACCTATTTAAAAAGGTGGAGAACGTCAGCATTCTCTGTAGAGGAATTTTCGTGACTCTAAAAAGGTCAGATCGGTGTTCAAAACCTTGGCACTGGTTCTCTGACAATTGTCGGTAGCTTCTTCAATAACAACAGCAGGCTGTTGAATGGTATACTTAATCTTCCTAAAGTGTTCCTTTAACTCTTCACCCGCTCACAAATCAAGTTCCTAAAAAACTGGTAATGAAATTTAAACTTTTAGAATTTTAACACAACTGCGGAAACCATAAACATCAACGTTTCATTTAGGGAGGAGACACGAATCGCTATAGAAGATCCTGCTTGTTTACTCACTTTTGTGTCCAACTTATAGGCCTCGAAGAAATAGAGACGTCTTGTGAGTTCCAAAAAATTAAAGTTTCACCTCGGAAAAATACAAAGACTTCTTGTTAATAAAGATGTCAGTCATGGTGATTCTCGCTTTAATCAGGAAAGTTCACTATTGCTGGAATGCTTTCCTAAAGCTATGAAGAGTTATTTCCGGATATTTGCACAATCAAATCACTGAGCATGATCTTGAATGTGGTAGCATTCGTTCGAGCATAACAGTGGTTAGCTTCTCCAACAATAAAGCTCTAAAGAAGCTCTCGCTGCTAATCAATCCCTGAGGGATGCGTCATGCATTCGACTTCACTAAGCATCGTTGGAGTTGAATGAATGCCTATCTGGCCTTTCCAATGACTCGCGCTGGACTACCGATGTATCGAGCCATGCTGCTATCTTCCCAGACAAATCTGGTACCATTTTACCAACCCTGGAGGGATGGAGGGCTTAGTGAGTCAAGGCCGCGGGGAGCGATCCCATGCGTGCATTGCAGGACGTCTCCGAACACTGGGCCACACGCACCCTTTACCAGCAACATGAATCCTCAATCAAGTACAAAAAAATAAAACTGCGATCAAGTACTCGATGCAAGTCCAAAGCTTACTGATAAAACTCATATTGCTTGACCTCTCACTGCACAGCAACAAAACTAACCCTTAAAGGCGATGAAAAGACCAAATATGAATTATACTGTATCGTTGCGTTCTAGGATGGATTGCTATGAAACCACGGTTCAAATGTGTATTAGAACCATAACATCCCACGAGAAATCTCACAAAAAGACGAAATGTTCGATATTATTTACCTTTAATGGTTCGATCTTGCTAAGCAAAGCCACACCTGCATATCCTCCTTTCCTCTCTTTCGAAGTCACTAGCGTCTTGTGGTAACCCTGAAAGGTGTACCGGAGTTGCAAAGTTATGCCATCAGAACTAGTTGAAAATCCCTTCACCTTGAATGCGCTCTCAAGGTCTACGGGCCATTCATTGCACTTTATTTCACCCAAGAAAACCAGGTCCGCAGACTCAGACACAATAGACTTGTGACCTTCTTTCTAGAAAATAATAAATCATTAAACACCATGCCTTTGCAGTCCTTATCATTTAACCACCACAGATTAGTGAAGTGCTGCCTGTTCCTTCGCCGAATAAACTAAGCAAAAGTAAACGACTCGTAGATAAACTGTTAGCATAACCTATCTATTGCGTCGATTTGAGAGTAGACTATAAAGTTCGTTCTGAGTAAAGTAAAACGGAGATGGCTCACTGGCCTTTGCGCAAGCTCTTAGTCCTGCGACATTCCAAGACATCATCTTCCACAACCGTTCCTTCCCGTCGCTACATCCATTTTCCCCTGAAGACTGAGATGTTCCTGATACCGCCGGTGCTCTCTTTTTAGTTGGTTGGAAAAAGTCCGTCTGAAATGTCGTCTGTCTGAGAGCTATTAGTCAGATCAGACTTATAATCTATTAATCTTAATAGTATACCCACGATCTACAACAACTAGTAGTAAGAAAATTAACGGCGAAAAAGTTTAATACATGTCGAAAACCCACCTTTGCAGCTCTCTTACCCATGGCACGTCCGACACTGCCGTCGGTCACCAGACTGTGGCGGAGCATTAAACGGCGCAGGGACTTATTAAAGGTCCGAACAGGGATCTTTGCTCCAGGGTTGTTCATTTGAGGTTTAGGCGTCGTATGGGAAAAACAATACATTACAGAGTACTACTGGTCTAACATCATAGTCAGTAGGGCTCACAGTTTTGAAACGGAAATCTATACACCTGAAGTGTTTGGAGCTCGCATTCTATAAGGAGCACGGCCCCAAGGCTTTACAAGGGAGCTAAGAGCGGAATGACTTACACTTAATGACAATATGAACCTTTATCGTATACTGAGAGAAAATTGCACGAAACAGTTCTTGAGCAATCGAGCTTGGCGTGCTCTCAATCGTCCTTAACCTTTATGAGATATGTTCTCCTCTATTATTCGTTTCTAATGTTAACGTGAAGAGCCCTTAGCGTTGACAGCTACATAGATCCTCTAATCACATCCAAGACACATTATTCAAAGTAAAGAGTAGTACAAGTTCGTTGTTTCGAACTTCTGCGCAATGACAGAGGTTGAGAGTAGCACTTCTTTACATACCCCACAACTCAGCTCAATGGAAACTCACCCATTTTTCGAGAAAAGTTACCACCATTTGTTTTAAAGACCACTAATTGACGTGAATTATGACTGAATTGATCAAGAGATATCGATCTTCTATTTTCTGCATTCCTGTGATGAAGTTCTTTAGGTGTTGAGATGTGGTCTACAGCAAAGTCGGGCGGTCGAAGAATTCTACTCATCCATCCGTATAGTCAGATACATGTCCACGCCACGATCTCGAATACATCGGCTGTAGACCAACGACTTTAATGTCACAAGGCATGGGCACTTCATAAGTTTAGGGATTGACTTTCCCAATCTGAAAAAACTGATCTCGGTATACCACGTAGAAAGCTTTGCTCTCTTTGAGCTTGGGAAATGATAGGAAATCAGATCTGTTACTGCTCCAGATGTTAATGCTTCTGCGCAACAGAAACCTACAGTGTTCCCCTGTACCTTCGCGCAGTCACCCTTCATCTCCGTCCTCCAGATCTGTGGGACTGAATAAAGAAATACTACCAGACAATGTTTTACCTTTTATTTACTGCCTATTCTGTTTTCATGACAGGGTATTATGTAGAATACAACCACTATGATGCTGAGACATGATCAAAAGCCGGAACCTGAGGTGCACTTCGAACCCGTAATTACCTTTTCCTGTCGATCTCGTGTTATCCACTGCACCAACCGAAGCGCTTTCTTTGTCTTTCTCTCAGTATTTTTTACCCTAACGGTGCATTCAACAATCACCCATTAACGGGAACGATCTGGAGACCACAAATCACCATTGAGCCTCGGAAAATGGTAGTTGCGGGTTCGAAATGCCCTGAGGTTCCGAGCTTTGCTCATATCGCAGCATCCCCTTGGTTTTATTTCACACAATACCCTGGCATGAGAAAATGGTAGACAGCAAATAAAGGACAAATGTTGTGATTGCGACTGCAGCTTTAGCTTTAGCTAAATATGCATTCAGTCACCTCCAACGGTGCTTATTGAAGTCGAATGCATGGTACATCCCTCATGGATTGATCGACGCCGAGAGCTTTAACGTTTTATTTTTATTCCGAGAGCTACCACAACTGCATCATATCGATACAGTTTTTTCCGTGCCTCCCTGTTATTCCGTGTGAAAACGGTTTCAATAAGGTGATACCTCACCGAGAATTCCTAGAACGAGGGGGATACATACAAATGTTTTCAGATTCATAGAAGGGCGTACTGATCTATTGAAGATTCCCTTCATTGTTTTCAAGAGGTCAAGAGACTAGTGAATCAATTGTGAGGATTCGTGAGATCTTACACTCTGCTCTATGTGGTCTTATACGGCTCCGAAGGTACACATTACAGGAAAAAAAAACCCAAATATTCCTCCCACATTCGCCCCTGATTCGAATTATTGCCACCCCGAAGATAGTGACGTGGACCAAAACGTCAGTTATAATAAGTACTTAGTGCTAAACACCGCGTGTGCTCTTATCACTAAGTCAACATACCGATATAGCAGGTGAGTCAAGCACAATTTACAAATAAGATGCAGGAGAATACAACGAGAACGTTGAGCTCATCGTTCACAATGTGAGCCAAACAGTTAACCTTCAAGTTCCCCATTCTTGAATTACTCTTATGCCTATTAACTTTTCAAAACTTACGCAACAACGTGACTTCTAAGCGAGCAATACGCGTGGTGCCCCGTACCAGTCTCTAGAGAGGGTCTTTCGGGTGTTTAATTTTGGGGTACAGAACTATTATTATATCTCTCTTAATCGCTTCGTAACTAACCCAGTACTTATTGCAGTGGCTGTCGTGAATGCAAAGCTATCCTCTAAATTCAACAATTTGCAAGGTTTCTTCGGTCGAGTTCCTTAACGGGTAATTTGATTGGTAGTTTACTATTAATTTACTTCTACACACTATGATCAGCAACGTTTACCGTATAAAGGGTCGGGTATAAAAACTACCGAACAGAACCAGTCGTATGGTGGACCACAGCGACATATAATTAGTAGCACACGTAGTACCCAGATTCCTAGTACGATAAACCATGGAGCAGATCTTCTCCAGAATCCTGCAATGTTCTCAATAATTGCTCCACTCCCCTACTTGTCGGAAAAATAACCCACCACACCCCGATGGAACTTGCTGCCTTGGGACTTCTATGTGATAGACAGGATAAAACTAGACCTCCTCGCCGAGGTGTACAAAAGCTTTGCCAAATATCGACTACACAACACCCCCTGTTGTTCATTAGTATCTCACACATTTCGTCACAATATTCACCACTTGAGCTTGCCTCGCTTTTACACCCAGCCGCCAAGCCTCCCACGCAAAGCACCCCGACCCCGTCTCCAGATATCGATCCGCCACTTTTCTGCCGACGCGAGACACATGACGCCCCTGTTTACAGACCAGCGCTAACGCAGTTTCTCGTTCCCACACATGACCACATTGCATCTGACGTCATCCCACCTCCCATTTGATAAAGATCACCAGGACCACCAGATTATATTTATTTGTTGGCTGTACAAAGGACAACAATAAATAGGACACTTGGTACATATGATGCCACATCTATGTAACGATAATATGATGGCCGAGATCAGTTCTTGTTGGCCCAGTTGACGCGCAGCGAGCGCCCATTGAAATCTGTTCCATTAAGAGTGTTGACAGCATTCTGAGCTCCGGCCTCATCAGAGAACTCACAGAATCCGAAACCTTTCGGGCGACCAGTTTCACGGTCGTAAACAATTCTGTAAGCAAACAACCGTCATCCGAATACAGTAAAATCAAACTTTTCCCTTACTAACCTGACATTCGTCACACGACCTGCCTGGCTGAAATGGTTACCGATGGCGTCTTCGGTAGTCTGGTAGGGTATATTACCAACTGAAAATACAAATCAAAAACAGTGCATAGCAAACATAACAACATATAAAACCAATACCAGTCAGTTACAATCGGTGATAAGGCCATTACATAGCTAAGGCACCTTAACCTAACCTAAACTACGCCAAGCATGCAACAATAATCCTACGAGCCCAATCAGTTAGTGTCAATGCGCTCTACCGTTGCGTGCCTCGCCGTCGCTTCCTCGGTGAAGTTCGACCATCCACAGCGACCAACTATGATGGCGTTTGATGGGATAGTTTATAAATTAACATTATGGCACTCTATGGCCAGGGACGCCGTTGTTTCCTGCAATATCGGAATGTTTTCGAAGGCCGTTACAACCAATGAGAACACCGATAAAGCCTAACACTACAATCATATTTCGAAAGTAAAAACTCACAAACGTGGCTACGTCGCAAGCTTTTGGCTTCCAAACTGGCCAAATGGCCTGTTATGAAATCCCAAAAAGTTGCAATGTACCAAATATAACTATGCACTACACGTCTGCTCGACTAAAGGTAAACTAACCGTATACTGAATAACGAGTAGGAGAAGCAACCATGCCCACACCAGCCATTGTTTCTGTCAAAAGTTAAAGAGATGAAGCAGACTTGGGAACACAACCGTATAACCACGAGGGAGAACGATTAATGATCAACACACGCCTGCGGACGCCGTCACGCGTGCGCACCGCCCATATTTCCTGATTCAAGGTGATTACGGTAGAGAATGTGAAACGTTTGAAAAAAGCTTCGTAATCAATATCGTAGTATGCTTTCGGTGCAGTGATGACTGTTCGTGTCAAACGCCGTTAGTGTGGCTGAAAGTTACCAGTTTTGGAATGAGGACCAATCTTGTAATTTCATCAGGATCTGTCCTAAAGAGATGTAATTTTGAAATGTATTATGTAATTTTGCGTTTCACAGAGACGACCACACAGGCGGCTATGACCTAGTTGGCTCTTTTAGAGCGCTTGGTGCTATTCTAATCATTGCTAGTTTCTCATTTACATTGGTTCTGGTAGGTGTTTAGATCTTGCCTTGATGGTGCTTCATGATGGTGCTATAAGTAGTAGGGAAGTTCAGACATCCGATGCTGAGGACCATACTCGTCGTTTCTAGAATAGACTGAAAATCTACTGCATAGACAAAATCGTGTTTCGAAACTTCGTTTCTGTTTTGGAATATTCCCCCTCGTGCCTTGGAATATCCGTGAATCTGGGGATCCGTACTGTCAAAGATTTTTCAAGAGAAAAGCTTCGAATTTCGAATTAGGAAAAAGAAGGTGCGCTAACAAGAACTGAGTAGTCGAGCAGAAATTTAGGATTATCACTTTAGACCTGATAAGGAGTATAAGTTCATGTTCTATCCTTTTCCAACAATTTCTGAGGAAAGTACATTGATGGTGGTTACCTCTGGCGTCACATTTAAGTAGTTATGCTTTTCTCTTGCGTATCCTTCTCGTACTTTAAGCATATATTTTTCCTTCAAACTGCCGTAGACTAATCTCCGTAGTAGCAAGTGACTTAACGAATTCAGGAGGGTCTAAATACGTTTGTGATCTTTGTAGAGGAATAAGCAGAAGCTTTGATCAAGCGTAATTAAAACCAATCCATTCTCACATTTTGTAAATACTGACCCGTTCTTCTCTTTTGTAAGAAACGTAGAGTTTCGGAAAGTAATCAAGCAGTAATGTCAATACGCAACTTCATCGAGTCTCGGCATGGATAGTCAGCATTCTGCTTTATGGACACACTTAAACGAGGTTGTTATAAATCTTCATTATAGCTAGCGTTTCTGGGGTATCGCCATAAGCTGAACTACGGCGATTCATGTGGAGCTTCCACAACAGTCCTTTCCTTTGAGCAAAACCGCCAAAACGTTAGCCATAATTGTAAAGAAAACTATTAATTACTGTTACCGTGGCCTAATGATAGTTGATAGTTGGTTTCAAAGGGGAGCCTCCGAATACTTGTCAATAAGTTAAGAATTTTGGTGTTCATAAACCAAAATCAAATAAGTCAACATTCCCGAGTGATAGCACGTCATGTGATCAACAACAGGTGGCGGCGAAGTCAAACATGTCTGCCACCTCATGCTCTGCTTGGATGCTACCAAGGTCAACAGTTGTGAATTGTGGAAATTCCCCACGAAAAGAGATGTGGTTGAGAATCGTGCCCAGAGCTAAAGATTCAAAGAAAGTTTCCATTTTTTCTATTTGTTTTGTAAAAATAACATTCGTAGTGCTCAAACTCACAAGGCATTACCATTTAGGTTTCCATTTCCATTTTCCATATTTTTTCTGTATGTGGTCAACCAATAGTCTTCTCCTGAAATCGTTCCCCATAGCCGTTGTTCGCAACGAACTCAGGAGGTTAAACGTGATAGAAGACATCTCTAATCAGTTCAGAAGGGTTTCCATTACAAGGAGACCCGAAGGAGTGTTTCTAGCATTACAGGATGATCTATAGTTAGATCAATCTCATTTGTCTTGGTATACTGTGTACCAGAGTGTTTCTATTAGAGATGATTTGGACCTTTAGGATGGTCCAGCATCTGAGATCATTAGGGCTGAGTCGTAAATTGTCTTTTCTACTCGAGTCAAAGTACGCAATAGGCAGATGGCCATCACTGTTCGCTCTATTGATGCATTTGCATTGAAAATACTTCATGCAATAACAAAATCACTGAGTACGGGATTGTTGCTCTCTACCTTAAGGATTCATCGCCTGACTATGTGTTATTTCCCTACTGTTCAATCCGAAAGTGAATTCAGTTCTCAAACGAGTTTAAATAGATCAAGGAGAAGTGGAAATGGCAACGCTAACGACAAATAAATATGCACACCATATGTAACGTAGTCTTAATGGCGAACGAACCCACTTACTTGGAGGCATCGATGGCTCGTCTTCGGTGGTACTGCGGGCAATTTCCATTCGTTTTTCTCTCGCACTAACGTCGTCCGTGGCGATGGTCCGCTTCGCATATGATGACGTCCGCAAAATCTATTCCAAATTCTTTCCTATTCTTAAAAGGGTCACCATCTGTGATAGTTGACGTGAGCTGTGTACACGTCCCCTCGTCCTATGTGTGGTCGTCCAAGAGGACGCTTGCATTCTTTTAGAGTCCACTCCGCTGTTCTTTTCGTCCATCTTTCACCTGTTCTTTTCATTATGTGGCCGCCCTATCTGTGCTTCGCTATCGATGTATACTCTCCTGGATTCCCAAAATGTGATAGGTTTCGAAGATTTTTGCAATGCGGTTAGGTATTTGTGTGCCACCTATATTCCAGAAGAATCGCTCCATGAGTACTGCGCAATACTCTTGACGTCGTTGAAATATCAACCCAAGTCACTGCTGCATAACGGAGCGGATTTTTGGGTCCTTTGGCTGTTCTGTGTCTTCTTTGATAGGCCAGAATTCGGACCATGCTGTTCCCTTCTATCTAATTCCTCGTTCATGTTCTTCTTCAAATTGATTGAACTCTGTTAATCAGAGACTATCCAGTTTGATCTGTTCGGCTTCACACTATGGATTCTTCATTAAGTGGGTCTTCTTCCGATTTATACACAGTCCGATTTTTTTCCACTTCGTTGAGCCCATTGATCATCGCCTCTTCATCGTTGGCACTACTTGGGAAGGTAACGATGTCGTCAGCAAAATGAGAATTTGATAGCAATTTTCCATAAATACGTAATCCTTTCTTGTCCCGTTCGTGTGACTTCATTATCCACTACGATGCGGGAGTTTAACTGTCAGACACTGATAGGATTGCACTTGTTTCGACGCCGTTAAACGCTTTTTAGTAGTCATCAACAATCAGGACTAGGCGCAGGTGTATTCCCGACAAACTTCAATGACCCTGGACACGGTCTGGATGTGTTCCATGTAGGAAAGTTCCTATGGAACCCTGCTTGTTTAGCTGGTTGTGCCTCATCTAATGTCCTTCATGTGTACTAACGGATAAACTTCGTGAAGAGCTTGTGGAGCACATTTAACAAGAATATCGGAATAACGAAGATCATTTTATTGGGCAAAGATGACCGTGTGCAACTTCCTCCAGTGGTCTACGATTTGTTCCTTCCTAAGGCAGATGTCATATGGTTCGCGAGAAGTACGTGAAAATTGTGGTTTCCAGATCTAAGGAAGTCGGCGGTGTTATTATCGGGTCGTGGATCTGTGCCTTTTTCCATGTTTCGTATTGCAAGTCGAACCTCCGACGGAAGAATTCCAGGTGGTTTTTCTCCAGCTGGGATATTAGGGCCTGGGACGGGAATTGAAGGATTATAGAACATGAAAGATTGTAGAACCTTTCCGTTATCAATTCCATATAATAGCTAATAGCGGGATATTTTATCGATCCCTTCTTTGTTCATCAGTGTTGATAGAAGAACATTGGTCTCGTACCAGTGTCGGCGGCATTTTTCTTTAAGACTGATTATTGTTTGTGTTGACTATCCATGCAATTCAGCTCATTCCAGTTCACAACATATCGCTCACCCTAGTACAGTCATGAGGAAGATTCTCTACGAAACTTAGCACTTTCTATCATATTTGGCTGAGTGACCACGACGATTGGATGTATTTCATTATGTTTATTACTTTACATCATCATATTTTGTGGATCGTAGCACTTCCTTCGTTCGGTTCATTGTTTCACACTCATCCGATATTCACGAACAGCTTTGGACTTACGTGTGGTTGCCACTGAAGCGGTTTGCCTTCTTCATCTATTTCATTGACTCCTGGTTAAGTTCATGCTTTTTGAGAACCTGGAATAGCTCCAAGAAGTCGGTGGCCTTCATGGGTCGGAACGGCTTTTCCAGACAAATCTATTGCAAATAATATCGACAGCGGAGGTAGAAGGGGCTCAGCTAGCTGGGTGGGGGGCGAACCAGCAACCATGAACGCTTGCACGGCATATCTACCCAACGCGTTTCATGGGTCAGTTACTGCACATAGTCGTTCAATCATTAAAATGGTCGCATGACTCGTTCAACTGGAACATTACGACCGCTGTAGGTGAACTAGGAATCGTATCGTGTTGTAGGGATTGCCATATTTTGAAACTCGTGTAAGGAGAATCGTGTGCGATGATTTGATTAAGAGAGATGTAACTGTAGTAACAACAGTAGCAATAAGCTGGGTGAATCACGTCCACCTAACGCAAAAAGCATAAGTGCGTGAAGTCGGACGTGGAGTCTCAGTAATGATACAGGAGTAGCAAGTGGATCTCTAAGAGCACAGCACATGGCGAGGATTTGAAAAACTATCAAGGAGTTACTAATTAAGAAATGAAAGAGATTACAAACTATCGACAAGAGGATTAAGTTCACACCGAAGAAATACGAATCATTTTAGCGATCAATCTGTGCGCTTTAACCGACAAACTTATCCCTGTGAAATGGCGTGTAATCATAATAGCACACTAAGAAGCAATCGAGGAGCCAGCAAGGTTAAAAATGATCACTCTCACTGAATAGTTAATCGACTTCCTTTTCATTACGGCATCCTGACGAGGTGTTCCTCAATTTGACGAAGTGTCTTTGAGTAATAGCTTAGTATTTCCATATCTTTC